CAATCAAGGTGTCCTTCGTCCGTTATCTGCGAGATCTCGCCCCCCCCCGCACGCCCCCCGCACGCCCGCGCCACTCGCAGCACTTATCAATTTGAAAATCTTCACCATCGGCTTGTATCTGTTAAGTCGATCGTGAATTTTTAACTTTATGCTCGTTAAGTCAATACTGTATTAGATTTCGTAATTACATTTTCTAAACTTTAATTATATCTTTAGTAATTAGTTTTGAAAAGAATTAAACTTACGTCTTGTTACAAACTTTATTTATCTTTTGTAATTCATTTTTAGAAGTATAATTAGTTGGTGTAGAAATATTAGTGACGTTTTAAAGTTTATCACTTGAAGTGGCTTAACGTTAAGTTATAAAATATACGAACTTGCCTTAGTATAGCCGGTAATACGGCGAGACAGCGTTAAAACGCTTTACGTGTTCCCAGAAGATGTACACACTGATTCTGTGAAATACAACATTAAAATTGGCAAACTTGACTATTAACTAACCAATGTTATCTCGAACATCTTTGTAACTCGAACGAACTTCAAATTCCTGATGTCGGCTGTGAATTGGGCCACAGTGACGGATTCCGACGAAAAAAAAACAAACACTTCACATCCCGATACGCGAAAACACTTGATAGATAACCGAATACCTAAATCGAGGTCGCGGGTTAGCAAATCTAGTCACTACACCATCGTGATAAGACTTATATGGTGTATAATAAAAACGTCACGTACGATTTGGTTAGATGTCGACTTTCCCATGCGGTCGTCGACCCGCAGGCGCCTCGGACCTCGTTGTAATTATGATCACGGATCACCGTAAAACCGCGGCCATACGGCCATAGATTAAGGGACAATAAAATTCGACCTTGACTAGCTACGACCATTGTTGTCACTTACGTACTTACTGTCTGTCATTTCACAAAGTTAGAAGTCAATCCTATCAGTTACTTACTTACTTAGATAGGACTTCAGATAAAGTGTAAAAGACTATGAAATATGTTACTATCGCTGTCTATTCTAAAGCAAATCGGACAGATGATATAATATTTTTGTTATTTCAGCAAAAGATTTTTAAAAATAACCCACTTATAAATAACGAAATCAAAACCAACAGATAATAATAATCTAACGTAAGGAACCAAGTAATATTATCACAGTTTAAACAAAACCAACTGCACATTACAATCTTACTAAAGAATTATAATTACTACAGACTAACAGACTTCCTGTACAGTATGATGACTAAGTAGTATGTGTGAATGACACGCGCCGCCGGGCGTCGCGACTAGTGTCACGCCGCGTCACGTACTAAGAGCTAATTGTCCGCATTATTTATGTATGCTTATAATAAAATCCGGTGTTACTGTCCGTCTGTGAGTTATTAGATTTTATAATGATATATATTTAAATAGATACGTTTGTTTGAGTATTAAAACTGTAAATTAAATTATATTTTTAAGATTTTTTCTGTTGCTGTTTGTGTACAAGAATGAATTTTTAAACAAGCAACGTCAATCAACAATTAGTTTATACTATTTTGTTATTGACAGTAAAAAATTTGGACAAACTAAGTTATATAAAAGCAAATACGGGTGACCGTTTAAAGCATCGGTCGGGTTTGTGTGTCTTGAGAAGAAAAACAAAAGAAAGGCTACATTAAGACATATGACCTCTCAAGATGACACGAAAGTAAACTCTCATTTGGAGAATTAATGGTAATGGAAAAGTCGGGTTGCGACCCCCGCCCCCGCAGCTCCGCACCCCCTGCCTCTGGGGGTTGGTCAGTACCGTCGGGGGAAGCTTTGCACCGAGTCGCCAATAATACTAGTGTCTTAAAAATCTAATTGTTTTATTGGTTGTAAAATGACAATGTCAATCGATTTCGTGCAACGAAAATGTTAAATTCAATCAAGAGTTCTCTTGAAAATTCTTCAGCTCAAGTCATTTGAAATTTTCTCTTGAATTTTTTTTATTTCAATGAGCTAATTTATTCCATCATAACTATTAAATTGTACACTAACAAAATAATCACATCTAATCTCCCTCGATGTCAATCTGAGGGCGTGTCCCGTGACGTGTCGGATGACGTGTCGTGTGACGTGGGAGGCTGTTCCCACGTCATCCGACACCGCGCACGCGCCGCGGCCGACATGAGCACGACAACCCGCCTGTTATGAGATCGCGAATAATTAGACGATAAGTGCATTGTTATTGCACCATAATGCATAGTACATTACTCTTAAGGTAACAAATATTGTGACAAACAATATTATTTCAAATAAAATTTTGTCGTTTTAAATGCGTTTTGTCAACGCTACATTCAGTTCATTCGTGACTCATACTATGATATCACTGCCAATGATCATTTCTCATCGTTTAAGCACCCATCTTGTATTGTTACTCAAGTGACACAATACAAAAACTCGAAACTCGTACGAGACCGCAAAAAACTTTCACTCGAAAAACGGTGCCACTCCCCTTCCAGGAATCGAACCCGCGACCCGATATACAATGTGGTGCGATCGCAACCCGTAATGCCAAATTACCAGTTGTAGACCGGACCCCGCCTTGCCGCGGCCATCGCTGTACTGTCAGAACATCACAGAGCAACTATCAAAGAGTAAAAAACGGTTTGATAAACTGTTTCAGTTAAATAACTGTAATAGTAGTTATAAATAGCAGTTAAAACAAGATCTGTTATTATTTTCATACCTATACATTGTCAATTTTATACAAAAACTAGCTTTCGCTCGCGACTCCGTCCACGTGGTATTAAAAAACAAAAGCACCCAATGTGTTCTTCTAGACTATGCTCTACATCTATGCCAAATTTCATCGAAATCCGTTCAGTACAAACAACAAACATCCATCTATACTTTCGCATTTATAATATTAGTATATGTAGATTTTTTTAACACCTGACAATAAAAACGGACATATCGCGTGTCGATATCGGTACAATGACCATATTTATTGATAAATAATTATAACGAAAGGTGTTTTTGCTATTCGTTACTCGTTATCGTTAACCAAATGCCGGCGTTTTCGCTAACGACGCCAAATTACCGGCCCCAGTGACGTGTGTAAACAAAATTATAACAATAAAAGGGGCCCGTAATGATGAGAGTCGGGAATAAGTCATTTTTGATTCTCGCATATGGTGTGAACGCAGCACATTAGCGCCGACACTTCCGCTACTCTCAAAAAACAAACTGTTAAACACATTTTCTACTAAAACTTCATTTAATTAATACAAAAATTCCTACCCTTGACTTTGATAATAGTGTTCGTAGATAACATGGTGCTTTAATCTAAGCTATTATGATTTTTAATGGTTTGTCTATCTGATCCTGACGATATGAACATGATTGCAAATGTTAAAGAAAATGTTATAAACTAGTAGCACGATTACGAAATAGGAACCAGTTATTGCATCAATTCGTGCTATTAAAATACGTCAATTAGGATACCTGCAGAGAGACCTTGGGAGCATCTGTTCGATATTCAAATTGAGATAGACCTGAGGAGTATCAGCCGTGGCCGTGTAATTGAAAGTGTCGGCTGAGTCCGACATCTGCTCCTCGTCCCCCCGTGCCTCTGCCCCACGCCCCCTGCCCCCTGCCCCAGTCTCACAGAGATGCTCTTTAACGATTATTGGAATTGCCAGCGAAGCAGCGCGTGTTCTATTTCCGCGGCGTCTCACATTTTGCATCGTTACAATTTCCGACTCGCGAGGGTGTATTGCGGTCCACATTATGTGACATATACGCTTAACTTTAGTATTACAAATATTTAATGTGGTTTGGAACGTATAGTTGGTCTCTTCAACGCTATAATTACCAAAAAAACGCGCTTTAATTGCTGCTCACGCATTGTGAAATTGATTGTACGCTAACGATCGTTAGGTGTTGGCGTTTTGGTACTCTTAATTGAATATAAAGATTCGAGTCTTGTAAATTGATCTTAGATACATATTTCAAAAATTCACAAATGTAGTGTTAAGATGCATGACTTAAAAGTTCACATACTTTTGATATTAGAAAACAGCGTTATCTTTAAGATCTATGAACATATATGACCGAGTTAACTGGACAACAAGATGAAGAAAGCGACTTGACTTACGCAACACGCTGTTATGGATGCCAATAAAGGTGCAGTCGGACGTCGCCAGTGGTCTGTGATTGTATATCTAGACATCACATCGGTCTCGGCGGCGAGTCCGAGCTAAATGACTAACTCAATGCACTTTCGCAAGCTGGATAGAGACTTCCTCGAGCGATCGCCGATACGCTACGATTTCCTGATTTCACTTGGCCCATTACCAACCTGAGAGGGCCGTAAACTTTACTAACCAGACCCATGGTTGCCAACATATCAAAACAATTATAGCACACATAAAACAATAATTTAATATTCACAACTTTTTACATACATAATTGAATTCGCAAAATTGTTAGTATGAAGTAGGTAATGACTTTTTAGCCGATGATTTTGGGTCAAATGTGAATACTGGTAACCCTGATGCGCAAACGCATGGTAATGAGCGGTTGGCGTGTGCTCCAGCTCATTAGCCGCGCTCCTGGCTCTGCTCCGTGTGTGAAATACCAACTCGCCTCCACTTTCGTCCATTCATAATGTTACGGCCGAGGACCGTTACGAGCTACCTCGGAATGTTTACAGCATTAGGAATGTCGCAGCGCGCGATGCTTGTCATGTGTGACTCTATTTGCGTATCAGATTGGGTTAATATGTCCACTTTGAATAAATTTGTTGGAGTTAACAGAGTAGTTATAAGTTCAAAGGATTTCCCAGTAGTTTATTCGATGATATCTGTACTCATGAGCAAAATAAGCACTACAAGAAAGTGACAGATTTCCTTATAAAGGTTGTTCTTTAGAAACTTAAACACACTGGGTTTTAGTATATTTCTGTTAAACGACTGTTGAATATATTTGACGCGTGTTCTATTGTTTATTAGTGTGTGTTGTATTGCGCAGAGGCCGCCCTCATCGTCGTTGTCATACGGCGGCGCGGCAACGGACGACGTGCGATCGCCAGGCTCGGGGGGCACGCCGGGTCCTCTCGGTCAGCCCCCGCCACAGACCCTCGACGCCACGGATCCAGGTAAATTACTTCATTCAATACACTTACTCGCTTACAATGTTAGCTTAAAGGAAAATGACGTTTTAGTAGAAGGCATTATTCATACTTGTAATTGTAGTTGAGTAACATTAAATTCAACGTAATTATAAGATAGCTCGCTGTACCATCAGCCGCCAATCAATAAGAAGAGGTTTGTCGACAAGACATTCAGTAATTAAAAGGGCAGAGGTTGCGATGCGCGCCGATTGCACGTCGCACGTCGACTGCTCGCGCCCCCGCCCGGCAATTAACATGTCCACACGCCGATCTAGATCCGACGCGACGCGTCAACACCCTTCAAGAGCCAATTCAAAACTGACAGCGATACATCGTCGACTCACAATCGCGTCTCACCTTTCTTCGTTGAGAAAAAATGGAGAGACACACGAGCCGCGCTGTCAGGATCACTCGGCGCGTCGTGGCTCGAGCGATTGTCATGCGTCTCTCGCACGCACGTAAATGACTGATGGGTGTTCATTGAAAGACGTTAAGACGTTTGGGGTCCGCGGGCGCGCACAATGCGCATTGAAATGAGCCAGCCGCTGCCGCCGCCGCCGCCGCCGCCCGCCACCGCACCGCGCTGTAGTGACGCATATCGACACAACATCACCACGCGATTATCATCAATCCGCGGGCCTCGTAATTTGTGTGGGATTACATTGTGTATTATTCAAATGGGGGCCATTGACTCGCTACTAAGTGATTCTAAGAATATGACGTCGACGCGGATTACTGATTGCTGTATAGAATTAATTTAACTATTTAGAGTTTGTCAAAACAAAAGCAGTACGTTAGGAACGACAAGTTTAAATTAATGGTTTTGATGATAACGAAAAGACCACTAACAGCTAGATCTATGTAGTATACATTTCTTATCAATTTCACCAGACAGCGACAAAACAATAATGAAATCTACGGCCAGTGGCTATCTGTTTAAAAACGCCAGTCCGTCATTGTGAACGTTGAAAATGTTATGGAAAAAAATCAAACGAATAAAGGTGTGATTTCACAAAAGACGCAAACACAAACGCGGCTTTTGACAGCTGTCAAAAATGGGCAGCGCGTTGGCGCGAAAACTAACAAAGCATCAGCGATCGGTGTTGCCGTTTTTTCCAGCATTTCCACGTAGTTTTTCGTTTTAAAAATTATGCTTTTGAAACGGGTTTATGTAATTGTTTGGTTTGTCGCACGGTTTCGCCGCGGGCTGGGAAATGAACGAAATTGAATTTTGGCGAGCTGCGTTACACCGTTTGCACATACTTGTATGTGCAAATTTAATTATTGCACTAACTTGATGTACGGAACCTCGCACGTTTTAAATGCTTTGAATTATTTTTTTATCTATTTGCATTATAAATTATTACATATGTTTGTTAATGCAAAGAAGTACAGATGCGAAATTATAGATAATTTAACGTTTTTTACTCCGCGAGTTAAATAGTTAATTGCTAGTCGTTTTTTATTCAATAAAGGAACATTTTTAATTGATCGCGTACAGTTTTTAAAATTGTATACTGCTTCAAGTTAATAGCACTTGCGTTTTATTTAATTGAATATTTATGCAAGTATCTGAACTTTAATTTCTTACTCGATAGTCGCTGATTTGATCCTATCAGTGCTACTTTATTTTTATTGACTAATAAATGTTCTGTCGCATATTGATACGGAATATTGTAATTATACAGACCAAATCAGATAAACCAAACTCCTCTTAGTATGCGAGCTGTTTTCTTGCTGTGAATTCCGAGTTAAAACAATTCACATTATCTTTGCCTAGTTCAGTATAATTTGTCGTATAATTTTCAATGTCGCTAAGAGACAGCGAGGCAGACGTAAATAAATTTACACACGTAATTATAATTGGAGACGAGTCGCCCCCCGCTCTCCGCACTGCTGCCGTAAAGGGCTAACTCGACGCCGTGAATTATTCAAAATTCAAAATTTCCCTATAATTCAATCAGACCCTCCCGTTCTCCCGGGGGAGGGGGTCGCGGCGATTATTTGCGAATTTAATATTAATTAACCACCGCGCACCGGCGTCGGCGTAATTGCGTTTTTCAATTATAACTGACAATTATGCGATGAAATTCGGATGAGACGAGATGATTCCGCTAATTGCTGATCGCGCAGACCTTATTTAAAATTCACGAAAGCAATCGCCTTTGTTGTATATATTGCGATAATAGTTTTAATATTTTATATGCTTAAATATCACTAATTAAAAGCAAACAAAATAGTTTTTAAATTAATACACTGACCTTAGAATTTATTGAAGATTATGTTTGTATGTACAATCATAATTTAACTAACAGCCATAACCTAGAGGGATATGCAGAGACCATGAACCTCGATTTGATTAGGACCTGATGCATTTCTCGCTTCTAAACCACAGATCTCTTATAAAGAATTATATCAATAATTTCAATAGATAACAGCAACCTGATACTGGTAGTCTCAATTGCGATGTAACAATAAGACGTGTTAGATATGACCGTTACTATGGGGTGGGGAAGTGTCTAAATAAAATTACCCCTAATGTCCGATGGTGTCCAAGTCGATTTTCGTCATATTTCCCCCAAAGAGGCGCAGCTCGTTGTGCATTCAGATCGCGGTGACCGCTGCCCGCTGCCCTCCTGCTGCCCGCTGCCCTCCCGCTGCCCTCCCGCTGCCCGCTGGCAGATGTGTCTTGAATTCTCTAACCTCATCCGGGTCTAACGCACTCATAATCTAATCTAGACATCTTTGGGTCATTGAATACGATGAACTAGAGGCTAATTTGAAATTAAACTCTGTTTACGTGATACTAAATTTATCTCTGTTTTTGAAGTGAACGTGAGTACATTTCCTTACAAGTTTTCCGTCGCTAAAATCGATAATTAGATAATCGTATGCTGTTTTAATCTTGTTGATTGGAGTGTATGTATATATTTAACAGATTTTATGAACATAAGGTACCTATTTGCGTCGATCTTAACGCAAATACAATTTTTACAAGCGTTTATCTTCACCTATTTTGGCAGGACATTGACGGAGAATTAATGTGTGAGGGAATTCTATTGGCGATTTAATTCTTGCGTTGGCGAAGTCGCGAGCGGTCGCTAGTTTATATATTTTATTGTTAAGCGTTTCTCAGAAAATGTAAATGATTCAGACTGACGAGTTAAGATAAAATTAATTCCTACATTGTCTGTACATTACATGATTGATATCTGTCTTCATTCTAAGCGTTAGTCATTTTCTAATAATCATTAAAATCTAATGAGAATATTGTTTTAAGTGCTATTAGATATATCATGATTATCTATACTATTATTATAAAGAGGAGAGATTTGTATTTTTGTATGTATTGAAATAACTCAAAAACTACTGGGCCACAAACAAATTCTTTGACCTTTAAAAAGGTAATTTTATCTGTCAGTAACATAGGCTATGTTATTTTTTTTTATTTCACGAGGACGAAACCTTAGCAACAGCTAGTTCTTAATACAGTCGGGTGACATTACAGAAACTCGAAGCCGAAACATGTTTGGTTACAATGTTTAGGTAATGGAATTTCATGAAAAACTCTAAACTTATTGGAATTCAGTTTTCATCAATGACATTTCAAGTTTAAAATATTCAGTTTAAATTTCATGGTTTTAGTTATGGTTCGAAATTACTAAATCAATTTCATAAAATAAATGTAAATTACAGTAATTGAAAGATTTGTCACTAAAGGCTCCTTTAAACTACACTAAGGTTTCCATTTAAGGTCTCCGAGCAGTCTTCTAGTTATGATACAGTAATTAAGATTTTCATTTAAGCTGGAAAGCGTAAAAATCAAAACTAACATTAATTGTTCGCCACGCCATGCTGCGCGCTCCGCTCACTAACTGACGGAACGAAACGCGACAATTGATTAGCTCCTCGCACGCTTGTCTGTCGCGTTACTTTTAATTTTATGTATTTTTACACCGATTTATGTAGATTAATTTCATTAATATATTTGTAGTCACGCTTCATTTAACAAAGCACTTTTTTGATATTGCTAAAGATTTTGAATGGATACTGTTTTCTATGTTACATACAAATTGTTACATTTTAGAACTCATAATTAGCAACTAGGACACTAAGAGTGGATATACCTGTGACTAAACTATCGCACAACTGTTGTATGATTGTCGATTGTTTCGTAGCCAATTCAACTATTTAGCATAACTAAAAATCGAGTATAATTTCATGCGGATGAAGTCGCATGGGAACAGCTAGTAAGCTTATATGAATCAAAGCAAGATTGAACAGTTATGCGATAGTTTAGTTACAAGCCTAGCTCTTACTATTACTGTCATGTTTAAATAAATAAAATTAATAAAATTTCTAATTATTGACGAATTTAGACACGATTCGATCCTTGTAGTAGAAAGTATTAAAGCGATAACAGATAAACTTTTTATATAGTAAATGACGACATTATTACAACTTTAATGTAATCAATCACTTAATAGTAACATATAGCGCTGCGACCTCTAGGGGCGTCCTGCGCATTAATATTTCAGTCACAAAATTGAAAATGACCAAGGGCCCACTACTACATAACGCCACAGAGTATCGAAAGCGATAAAATATTAACCAGCAGCGATTTCCCGCCATTTTTCCTTCGCGACTCTCACGCATCGGAGTGCGGCTCACGTTCGGCCGCCACTTACACCTATCACTCTTATCATAAAACTGTTGTTAATAATTCATCCAGGAAAGAGACGCTGCTAGAGGACCGAGAGAGCAAGCAACATCGGTGTGGGATTATTAAATTCTGTGAATGCTCACTTTGTATCTAATATTGGAAGGTATTTAATATTAGATTAGGCGAGGGCGCGGCGCCCCCGGGGCGTGGTCCTCGCGTTGGGCTCACGGCGCCTTCGCCAGGACCTGGTACATGATTGGTCGCCGTTAGCCAACTCATTTGAAAATTGATCGCAAGTTATGTCTTGTCTCCAAAGTGCACA